ATATGTATATGTGTGTGTGTGGGCGTATAATTGTTTGTTATATGTATATATAATTTTGCAGTTGATCATGCTTGAGTCACACAGACTTCAACATTCAGTGAAAAAACACATTTTATTTATTTGTATTAATAGTAACAATAACCATTTTAGTTGCTCCTTTTGTTGTGCTACTACTGACACAAGACAGCAAATAAAATTGCCAAATAAAAGAAATAGTAAAACAAAGCAATTGCATAATTTATTCATGCTGCAGTGCACTCTGGGAGTCAGTAATTCTGAGTAGCTATTAGGGGTTGCACTGACTAATCGACTAGTCGCCTTCAATGCTGTGCCATGACGCTTTAAGCTTGACGTCGACTAGTCGCTGGTCCTATAGAGCGCAACAGGATAAGAAATCTTTGAAGGACTTCCACATTTACACTCCGTTTCCAAACAGTTCAAATGACAAATAAATGCATACTCTGAAAGCGCTCCACAAGACATGTGTTATTATATTACTGGATGCTCGAAATTGAACGGGAGAATGCACGTTTTAAACAGCTTATTGTACAGGTAAATTAATCGCCGTTCTAATCTAATGCGCTGCTGCACTGTAACGCACACACATAGGCTACAGACAGTAGCGCATACATCACGCACACATAATCATTCAGCGCGGAAATGTATTGTCAACACTGTTCTGTGATTTCTCAATAAAATAGCTTAGAAACTGAAAAGTTCAAGCATATATTTCTTAATAACTACTAAATCCCACAGCTTCACTACTAGTAGAGAGACGCTGCCAGGTAGAATTAATTCACACACGCAATCACTCTCACTAATGAATTCATATGAATGTAATCTTTACTGTGCTACTTTATCTGTATCTGATTTAGAATGAGCAGAAATCTGTGAGAAACATAACGATCCAAAGACAAAAGAACTGATCAAATTGAGCTGTTATAGGAGCAACAGCCATGTGGGCAGAGCCCCACCAAAATATTCACCCAAAACACAGATCTCTATATAAACTGAATAAATAAGAAAGAGTAAATATGTTCAGCATTCTGCAACAAATATTTTTCGGGTTTTCTTTGGAATTTTAAGTCATAAAATGCGCAGGATGTATTAAAATTGATCGCAAGCTTCTGCAGGCACATAAGATGCTAGTAAGTGTAGCAGTCGCGCCTGTGCCCTCCCGAACTCAACAGCGCCCCACACATTTTACAATGTAAATCTGTGGTGAAAAGTGGAAGTGCAGCACGCTCTAATTGGGAGTTTTGAGACTGCCCCGTTTATTTCAAGAGGTCCTTGCTGCAGCCTGTAGCACGATGACGTAGATGGATCAGATCCAATACGTATTTGATGTTTGATAAGCATGCGCAGTATTGGATTTTAATGCGCATGCGCAAAGTGGGGCTGTCATTGAAGCTAGTATTTAATGTAAATTAAACTGTAATTACGAGATATAGGTGTGTTTCATAGGCTTACACAAATTATATTATACTGTGATTTTAAACTAGTAGTGTATTCAAACTTTATTTAAGCAATGATGGTGTAGGTTTGAATGAAAGAGTTTGGTATGTAAGCTATGTTTATTTTTTATTAGTTTTCGTTTTAGAAATAAAACTCTAATTACAATTTTGTTTGTTCTTTATGAAAAAAATGGGGTGTAACTTTTGTCTTTATTTTTTCCTCTGATAGTCTAGTCAAGATAGTTGATAGTTCTGTCCTCAGATAGTTCTGTCAAAAATTAGTTCATGAATCAAATATTATTTTTCGTTCTCACTCTCTGTGCTATACGTGACAGAGTATAAAAGTTATAGGCCTACTAAAATATGCGGACATAATTTTTATACCATATACAAATAAAAAGAAGAAAAACAATCCTGTCAGTCGGGGTTCCGTATAGCCGATAGACCGTTATCCCGGGTTATACCGGGTTTTTACAGTTAATCCCATGTCCAGCAAATAAATACACACATGGTCGGGGACAAGGCATATTAACACAAAGATGACCATTTCTTTTTTTGTGTGTTATATGCAAGTGAAATCCCTGGAGATAGATAG